GCCGTGCGCTCGATGGGCCGTATACCTCCGGTAATAGTAAGGCACTATAGATGGGAATATTCCTATCCACCATTTTTGTGCCAAATTAGTGCCACTACAGCGAGTGTTACAATGCTGATCGAAAGTCGAACAAACAAGTCGCCGCATTTAATCCAAAAAGTATATATATTTCCAGTTAAAAAAAACATTCACACAAACACGAAAATAATTAATTTCTGTATCAAAATAGAAATTTGTTCTTTTTATCTGCAAATATTTATGTCTCAGAAAGATAACCCTCAAGACATGTTATTTTCTAGTTGCAGAAACAAATCGTATAAGGGCATAGTATTCGCATTTAAAAAATGCCTGGCTGTGTCGCAGTTAATTGCAGTAACCGGGTTGACAAGGGTTATAAGCTCTTCTCGTTCCCGAAGGGTAAACGTGAGACAAAATGGGTTGATAATATGCGGGTGGCACCCAGTTGGACACGGCTCAATTGGACACGAGCCACTCACAGCGCTTGAGACTACAAAGCTCCTAAGCACCGGTCGCTGTGATTGGTGGTGTCCAATCGAGACGTGGTCAATCGGGATCACCCCACAATATGCGACGAGATAAGTGGACACCGACCACCTCTTCGCGATTGTGTGAGGGGGTGGCACCCAGTTGGACACGGGTCAATTGGACACGAGCCACTCACAGCGCTTGAAACTACAAAGCTCCTAAGCACCGGTCGCTGTGATTGGTGGTGTCCAATCGAACCGTGATCAATCGGGATCACCCCGTGTGAGGTAAGTATCTCTCTCAAAATAAGGATATAATTTTTTTATCATATCACACAATGGCCTAATACTCAACGCTAATAATATTTTTTTTGTTTGTTTCAAGGTACATTTTGAAGATTCCCAATTCGAAATCTACCGCATTGATGGCTGGAGAAAACTTAAACTGAATGCAGTCCCAACGCTTTTCGATGTGCCCAACTCCCCGCCACGAATCAACCCACCTAGACGAAAATCACTGTACAAGGTTACTTTCGACAAAAATTAACCACATTTTTTTAACCTATCACTATCAAGATTAATATTTTTCGTTCCTTTCAGAATCGTGATGAAAACGCGACGCCTGCTCAAGTAGCAATAATCGATTGTTTTGACCAATCGGTGCTTCAAGAATTGGTAATTTTTCAAACCGCAATACTATATATTAATAAAAGAAGATTGAATTGCATTCAGAATCTTAATCGTCTGAGTTTTTCTATTGCAGAATTCGGTTAACCAAGAGAAAGCTACTGAGGAGTGTGACGAGCCATTTGAAATGACGCAACAGCCGGAACGAGTCTTCGATCTGCACGCACCCGTAAGGGCCATTCCACACAAACTTGCAGAGCCACATAAGGCTGGGTCCACAACCTCGCTTTAAGAAGCCCTAAGCCGTAAAGCCTTAAGAAATTGACTAATCACAATTACATATGAGAAAAATAATCGACTGTGGTTGGTTAATTTCCTACGGCTTTACGGCTTACGGCCTCTTAAAGCAAGGTTGTGGACCTAGCCTAAAAAAACATAAAGAAAATTATCCAATCACATTTCTGTCATAAAGCCAAGCGTAAACTACGATTGGATGATTTTCTTTATGCATATATTTATGCGGCTATGCAAGTTGTGTGGAATGGCCCTAACAGATGCAACGGAAACACGAGAATCTGAGGTAAATGGAAAATCTTTTTCTTTTTCTGGTAGTGTTGAAAAACAAAACGAAACACCGTAAAACGTCATTACAGATTTTTTTTTTGTTTTACATACATTTTTGCTTTGTTTTTGTTCGTACTGCTAAAATAATTGTCAGCTCTCTAAACACAACGTTTGTTTCTATTGCTATATTACGACGCTTCTACACTGAACAATGAATCTCTCTTATATAACATATTAACGAGTTACAAAATGTTACATAAGAGAAATTCATTGTTCAATGTAAAAGCGTCGACTGTGTGAGCTTGAGTTCTCATTGCCACTCAGCTTTTTAACTTTGTGAGTATGTGACTTACCCCACAACAGTAAACGGTTCAATTTTTGAGATAAAAAATGTTGGAGATATCATTTTGTTTTGTAATACTCTAATCGTTACGCTAGGATGAAAGATTGCTGATGAAGACTTAAACCATGAGTGGAAACGTTCAAAGTTGAGGTTTACATTTTTAGTATTAAGAAAAATTGCTCTAATTGATAAGCGTCGACTCCTATTGCCTGTATTACATATTTCATGATTTTATTAATTGTTCTAATTAAAGGAGTCTGTAAAAACTTATTAGTTTTTTCGTTAATTTGTGATTTATCTTTGATAATTATATAAATTATTTAATAAAAAACATTTCAATAATAATTTGGCGGAAGGCGCGCTCGCAGTATATTTCTGGTATAGGAGCGCCCCTAAAGTCGTAATCACACTACAGACTCCCGACTCTGACTCGACTACTGACTCGGACTCCCGACTATCATTCTACCAATCACATCAAGGCAGCAGCCGACTCTGACTGCCGACTCGAGAATAGAAATTACTCTATTCGATCGACTCTGAGTTGGGAGTCAGGAGTCAGGCTGGAGTCCCATGAGGTGTATTTACCGCGTATCGCGTAACCGCGTAACCAATCAGAAGCGATCCGCTGTTGTGATTCTGCGTTTTACTGATTATTGATTGGTTACGCGGTTATGCGATACGCGGCAAATACGCTTCATGGGACTCCACCCTCAGAGTCGGGAGCCTGTAGTGCAGTGTTGCCAGATGCTAGGGAATTTCCCTAAACCTAGGGAGAATTACAAGAAAAAAAATGAAATAGGGAAAAAGGGATTTTTTGTGAAAATAAGTTAAAATTTAGGGATTTTTAACAGTAAATGAAAATTTTGTTTTATGCTCGGTTTCGGTCGATAAGTAGGTGACAACTCATCACGTGTCCGAATCGCGCTGATTGACTTGGGCTTGGGGCATATCGGCATTAATCTTACTAGACTGATTCCTGAGATTAAATTTGTGCTAAAAATATGTACTTATTGTTTAGGTTAAGGTACGTTATGTATGGAACTAATTTATGTTAATTACTAGTCTTACTAGTCTGATTTCTAATACGAAGTCTACAATAGAAGTTATAGCTGTAATAGTGTCTTAATAGAAAATTGACCAAGCAGAGTCGATCATACTTTTTATATTCATCTGTGATTGGTCAATTTTCTATGATTTGAGATCCTACGACCGCTACAACTTCCATTGTAGATCCCGTATTAGATTTAGGTTAAAATCATAGAAAATGATTATTTGTTTTTTTTAAATCTAATAAATGTACAATAAAAATATATTATTCATTAATTTATAGTACTTATTATATATTTTCCTTTATATGTGTGTTCTGTTTCATATTTATTATAATTCCAAATTGTAATACATTAATAAAAAATAATTCATGATTTTATTTGAATAAAATTTGTAAAGAAACAAAAATTTTGTGAATTTAAGAGAAATTTGGGAAATTAGTGAAAAATTTGGAAAAAACAAGAATTTTATGAATTAAATGGAAAACTAGGGAAATCTAGGGAAATTTTCATGTCCCAATAGGGAAACTGCTTCGCCAGAATCTGGCAACACTGCTGTAGTGTGATTACGGCTTGAGTCAGAGCGTCACGTGATCGCCCGGCGGCTCGGCCGTGCGGTGGTGGGGGTCGCGCGTCGAAATCGGCCCGAAATGTACAAATCCTTGCAACCACTGATTTGTTTCATTATTATGATTTAGTCTACAATACTGTTTTAATTTATTAGACTTTGTATTACAAGTTTAAATTTTATTATTATTATTTTAGAACAGAATGAAAAAGGGCTACGAGCCTAAAATTTAGTCGTTATAAAATTGAAAATATTGAGAAGTCACAGAATAAAAACCTGTTATTTCGTTATAATATAAAATTTAATTTTCCGGCAATAAAAAATAAAACATAAACAAACCAAACAGACGTTTCGATTCCTGTTGGATCAATATCAATGTTATAATACAAAAGTAAAACGGTGAAGATATTAAAATATTAGAGTATAAAAATTAAAATTCGCTCTCAATCGCAAAACTTGTTATAATAAGACTCACAGTATTAATGTAATAAAAACACGCTCAGTATAACTTGAAACTTGTACAACGGTTGTAGTCAGTAAAAATGTGAACTTCTGGACATGGTATGCGGATTAAAACGAAATTGTATCTGTTAAAACGTATATAAAAATATTTTTTAAAAATATATTGGGTATGGGAATAAATTTCCGCCCTTTTTAAATGAAAAAGATGTATTTATTTAAACAAAACAATACAAAGTAAGTTTATTCAAAGTATGCTTCATCAGAAGCGACAACTTTCCCCCACCTTTCATGTAATAAACAGATTCCTCGAAGGAGAAAATCTGGTTCTTTTGAAGTGATCCATTCATCAAGCCATTTTTTGATATCTTCATAAGAATTGAATCGCTCTCCAGAAAGGGCCGACAGCATGGACCCGGAACAAATGGAAATCTGAAGGAGCAATGTCCGGTGAATACGACGGGTGGGACAGAATTTCCCACTTCACTCCTTCCAAGTATTTCTTGACCGGTTTTGCAACGTGTGACATAGCGTTGTCACGTAGCAGAATCAGCTTATCGTGCCTATTGTCCCATTCCTATTGTTTTTGTTTCAAAGCTTAGTTCAAACAAATCGCTTCGAACGAATATCAACTACTGGGCTCAAAAGCTTGAACACACACCTTTCAAATACATGTATTGCCGTTTTATCAAACACACAAGCAGTGCTACTAACGACATCTCTCTAATGGGCGGAAACTTATTCCCATACCTAATAATATTAAAAGTGCATAAAGCAAGGAAAAGTATAAAAACCAAATACAAAAAGAAAAATATGTATAACATTAAATAAATAATCTAGGATTCTTAGAAATGAATTAATAAAAAGTAATAATAAAAAAATAATAAATTAATGTGTGAATAACAAAGAAAATTATAAAAATAACAATTAGTAACAATTAAAATAAATAGTAAAAAATACATTATAGATCGTATATCAATATAATTTTTTGTGGTAACACTTAAATTGAGCAAGGTAACGCAATTTTGTGATAACGTTTTGTATAATGTTTTGAAGGAGAATTAAATAACCACTACTTTAGTTGGAAGAGGAAATGTCTTTGAATGAATTGTGATATAATAATTTCATTTAAGAGGAATTTAAACCATTTGGATTGGAATAGGAAGCTTCTTCAATAAGTATACGTATACTTAGGTTTTATTGCATAAAAATTAAAGATGGTACCATTTGGATTAAGTAAATAATAAAGATAGTATCACTTGAGTTTTACTTTTCATTTTGTAAAATTTAACTTGGCGCCAGTTCTTGATATCAAATCTTTTATAGGAATGATACATATCATTAAAGTTAATATTATTTATTTAATTTGGTATTCGAATTACATGGAATTTAACTTGGCGCCAGTTCTTGATATCAAATCTTTTATAGGAATGATACATATCATTAAAGTTAATATTATTTATTTAATTTGGTATTCGAATTACATGGAATTTAACTTGGCGCCAGTTCTTGATATCAAATCTTTTATAGGAATGATACATATCATTAAAGTTAATATTATTTATTTAATTTGGTATTCGAATTACATGGAATTTAACTTGGCGCCAGTTCTTGATATCAAATCTTTTATACAAATGATACGTATCATTAGTTCTACTAAACAGCAAACGTGATTAGTCATCAGTTTCTCGGCCGATTAAGTAATTGGCGTTGGTAAAGTTGGCCCAAATGGTGATTCTTTATGAGAAGCACCATTTGGGCCAGTTTCACCAACGCTTAGCGCTTTTTTTTCTTAAAAAGGTAAGTTTGTATTGAGTATGGGAATACGTTTCCGCCCATTGTAGAAAGATGTCGTTAGTAGCATTGCTTGTGTGTTTGATAGAACGGCAACACATGTGTTTGAAAGGTTTGTGTTCAACTTTTGAGCCCAATAGTTGGCATTCGTCCGAAGCGTAAAAAAGAGTAACTTTTTTTACGTTGAAGATGTCGGAATTTATTCCAAAAAAGCAACATTTGCGGGAAGTTTTACGGTGAGCATGCTCCATCTAAATCCAGTTGTAAAGAATGTTTTCGGCGATTCAACAGTGGTGTTTTGACGTGCGTGACAAAGAACGCGAAGGTGCACTGAGAAAATTTGAAGATGCAGAATTGCAAGCATTACTCGAAGAAGATTCATGTTTATCGCTCGATAGGTTGTTAAAAGAGTTAAATGTTGATAGATC